CCAGGCTGGTCGTGGCATTCCTTTCGCTCTCGCCTCTTCCCAGTCCATGCGGCTGCTCACGTGCATGACGGTGATCTCTTGTTCGACGCAGCCTCTGTCTTTGATAGCTTTGCCAATTGTTCTCCATATGTCCTGGTTGCCTCCTGTTCTGCGTGGTCTGTTACGTCTCCCGATGTACCAGCCCTTCATGAGTATGTCGCTGCCCGTCCAGTACTCCACCGTACACTTCGTGCTGGGAATGAAACTCAAGAATGCCCAAAGCTCCGCTCTGTTGTTCGTCTGCCTTGCTCCAGGGAGTGCGCCCAGCTTTGCTGCCTGGATGTCGCGCGCGCCGCTTGTCTCCAGCATGATAACCCAGCTCCACCCGCATCTTCGGTATCTTTGATCGTTGTAGTATTCACCTCCTGATCCGTCGCCGCACCCTACGATGACGTTGCAACTGCTGATGCGCTCCTCGTTGATGCACTCCCCGATGTGTCTTTCTTCGTACTCAGTTTCGCACGGCCCAGGTGTGATCCACGCTCTTGGTGGTATCCCCCGTAGCCAGAACGCCGGGGCTGTGCCCGCTCCTGTTGCGCTTGCCCTGGGTCTTTCCGTCTTTTCGAAAATCTCGTCGTTGGATCTCTGGTTGCATCTCCCCCATATGCGGTGTGCGTCGATCTCGGTATCCCCGCATTCGAATATGTCGCCCGTGTCGCAGTGCTGGTGCGTACGCGATCTCGGCCATGTTCCCGCACATGCCGCCGTGAGTAGTGCTCCGTACCTCTGATGTTCACCTTGTTTTCGTAGTCGGTGTAGGTGGTCCCGCATGTCTTGGCAGTCACCTCCCTTTTCGAGTCCTCTTCCCATGTAGTGGTCTGCAGCTCCTGCCCATAGTTGCTCGTCCAAGGTTCTCATAATTTCGTCTAGGATGTCCGCTGGATCTGCGTCTTCTTCTCCTTCTGGGAACGCCCGCAATTCACCGCTTGGGCTCAGCCACTTGGTTTGTCCTCTGGCGCCCCAGCCAAGCTCCCATAACGTGAGTATGATACCTCCCAGCGGTCCTCGTCGCACCCTCCATCTATTTTGTGGTTTCTCTCTCCATAATCTGAAATAAATCCTCGGCCGCGCCCTTTTGATTTGATGCCTCAGCTCTGGGGAGTGGGGCCAGACGTCGAAGAATGCTTGGATCTGGCCTCTTACCACCGAGCGAGCAGGATCATGACCAAGGCTAAAGATGTCGTAAGGCATCTGCCAGCCCAGGGTCGTCTTCTCGCCTGAGCACACTTTCGTCGCGCCCGCTGAAGAGCATCAGGTGCAAATCCCTGACCGGTTGCTCCGTGCATCATCGATGCCATTGCCCATTGATTACACGCCGCTCTCCGTACTTGAAGTTTGGTTATCTTCAGCTTCTTCTCGACTTCACGCATCCGTTTGAGAGCACCCTTTAGCCTCTTGCCGTGCGTGTCTCTCTTGGTCGTGCCCTTTGCCGCTCTGTCGTGCCCAAGGTCTCTGCCCTCCGTCGCCGTCTGGATGTCGATCGTTACCTCCGCGAGCCTCTGTTTGGATCTCGGTGCCGTCCTTGAAGTTCGTGGAAAAGAGCAAAGATTTACCTGCCAGGTTGAGGCCATGTGCCTCTAGAGCGTCACGAAGTTCCCGCGTTGTCTTTACCATGCCATCAAGAACTGCCCCTTGGCTTCCCGCCACCCTGGTGCTGATGTCGTCGAACCGCGCTCTCGGCGCAGGTTTAGGAATGCGCAGATCCAGCCCAGTTGTTCTTGCCAAACCAGAGTACACAATCGTCTTTGCCACATTGTTTGAATGCTGTGAGCCTGCAAGTATTGATTTATCCGCGCATATTGGTAGTGAATGCGCTGCTTTGCGCCTGAGTACTCGCGCCGCCGAATGCTGCAGCATTAACATGAGTAGTACTCTTGCCGAGAATCCTAACTCCAATGCTGCTGCAATAACCCCATCTTGCCTGGGGCTGCCATCGAACTTCTCGATGTCTGCCAAGAGGTTGCTGTTGTTGATCTCCATCGCATCCATCCACTCGCCCGTGATGGCACGTCGCAGTGCTTCCCGTAGACAGCTGTTGCCTTGTATCGCCGCATCCCATTCTCGCTCCTGTTCCTTCGCCCATGATCTTACCCTCGGCCGACGCAGTAGCTCCCAGCATCTTACCAGTTGTGGTAGAAGTGCCAGTGCCCTGTCCCCTTTCTTCGGCTCCGGGGTGATCATGGCTACCGAACACACTAATTGCCATGGCCACATCATCCTCGCCTCGCACTCGTTGAACAAGTCCACGATTGCCTGCCTTCCCTCCTCAGGGAGTCGTCGCATGTCACTGCATGATATCTTATCAGCTCCTTATCCTTTGTCTGGCTCTCCTTTCAGCGCGGCATCCAGGTCGCCGAACGCCCATGCCTGCGGGCCCTCCTGGCGCGCCACTCTCCTGAAACACCCGAGGTTCTGACAGTGCCCCTCGCGCGGGTTGCCAGGGCCCGCCCGGCCTTGAACATCTCCGCTTTGAGGTCCACGATCTCCGTGGGGCAGCATAACGCTCCGCTTGACGTCGCTATTTCTTCTTCGCGCCGTACAGGAGGTTTCGTTATCTTGCGCAGTATTCCTGGTTCCTTCTCCGCCATAGCCAGCCATTTAGCATAGGTTCGAGCTCCTTCGCGCAGGTCTCGCTGCACCGATGCCTGCCTCTCGTTCTCCGCCTGCCACGCCATTCCCTCCAATATCTCTGTGTCGACGCTTTTCAGATTCCTCGCGCGCTGTGCCCATATTGATCTATGCAGCTCCGCCGCCGGCGTCGCATTTCCAGCCCCAGGGATTCCTTCAAGTGCCAGTCGCCTCGCTGCCTTCACGAGCGTGTCGATCTGCCGTTCCGCTTTCCCCTTTTGTCTGTGCTTGATCATATCGTTGAGGATTGCTTCCGTCCTGCTCCACCAGTCCGCTCTCATACTTGCGTACCGTGTCCGTATGTTTCCTCTCTCGCGTGCGTTGACCGTCTCAAAAGATGTAGATTCCCCTCTCCCCTTGTAGTGCTCGCGGTCCACTAAGTCGATCTTGTAGCACATGCAGTAGAACGTCCCGAGCGCACTCATGGTTATGTTGCACGTTCTGGCCAGAGCTCTTGCGCCTTCTGGGTCAGACTTGTAGGCCGCACTCGCTGCAATAAGGGATGGCGGCTCGTCTGCTTCATCTCTGGCGTGAATGATTGAGGCTGCTTTCCAGACTTCGTTCATTGCCGTGGTGTCGATCTTGGGCGTTGCCCCCACTGCGCGGTCCTTTGGCGACTTGCTTGCCCTGTTGCTCGCTCTTCCCAATGGATTCTGGCCATTAGCGACGTGCGAGCGGGGGTGCCCATCACTTTCATGGGCCTTCTCGCTCGCATATAATATCCCATGCTCATGCATGGGGCTGCCCATCCCCCCGTTCACGTCGCCGTAAGCAGCCTGGAACTCTTTGTCCATGTCCTGCTCGTAGCGCACCAGCTCCTCGCACGGGTCAACTCCCCCGCAACTGCCATCCTCCCCATACTCGATAATGTCGTCGAAAGGGTCCACTTCGTCGCTGTACATGCGGTTCACTGTCTGGCTGTGGGCCCTGCTCCCGTGAGGCTCTGTCCGCGCGGGCTGGCCCTGGCACTCGTTTCCACATCCTGTTCCAATGGTAGTTCGCCCAGGCGAGGTCCCCCGACTCTGCCGTTCGCTGTATTCGCGGTTCTCATGGCATCCGCGGGCTGGCCCCTCCCCCTCGCGTTCCGACTGGCGGTGTCCCAGGGTGAGGCTCCGCTCTGGTACTGGCGAGGTCCCGTCTGCAATTGTGTTGCGCTGGGCTCGTCAGGGACCTCCGCCGTTGGGCCCGTCTTCGCGTCCTGCATCGCTGGGTGTCTGCTCTGGCCGCCCGGCCTCGAAGCTTCCCGCCTCGCGCAGTCCAGGTATCTCTCTCTGTCCTCCGTGATTGCCTCGAAGTTGGTGATATATTCGCGTCCTGCTGCTGCTGCTTCTTCAGCCTGCCGCTTCGCTTGTGCCGCTATCTTCTGGCGTTGCCTCTTGCTGTTCGGGTCGGGTGTTCTCTTGGGTCCAGGTGGGCGTGCGCGCGCGTGTGCGTGCGTGTGCGGGTGCGCGTGCGCGCGTGCGCGCGCGCGCGTGTGGGGGTTGGGGGGGGGGGGGGGGCGTCGGGAGTTTCAGCTGTCTGCGCTTCGTCGATACCCCTTCTCCGTGCAGCTCTATCGTCAGCGCGATGCGCGGCATCCACGGTGCATCGTGGACGGGCTCGATACTCTTCGCGAATTGCTCGGCCCTGGCGTCGACGATGGCGAAGTCGACGTTCGACCCCGCGTCCCCGAGGAAGCAAGTGTTGTCGCCCTCTGGGACCGGAACCGCTGCCTCAGCCCCCATAGCTCTGGCCCATCCCGACCTCCAGAACGCTTCTGGTGCGTGGTTGACATCTCCACATATGAGCCGCGGCAAATCCGTAGCCCTCACAAAAGCTGCCAATGATGATAACTTTCCTGAGTTGACGCCCTCCTGTAGGGAGGAGTTGGCGTCCAAATGAATACTCATAACCAATAATGAAAACCCTTTCACGTGCCATGCCACTGGCGCCCAGTCGTACATGTCGTAGTCGCGCTGTTTGCCTTTCATCATGTTCGTGGTTGCCTGAGAAACCTGATCTTTGGCTGCATGTCTGAAGGGCGTCGCTTGATGATGCTCCTTCATCAACGTGGCTGTTCCCCCGCATGGGCCGCCCGCCGATCTCGTGCTCTTGCGAGCCCCCGTGAAGCAAGCCTTGAAGCCCCCCTTCGTCAGCTTCGCTTCAATGCCTTCTAACATGTCGACTGTGACGCGTGTCTCCTGAATAGCGTAGGCGTCGAACTCCCTCCTGTTCGCCGAACGCATGAGCCACGCGTGCGCGGTCGGTCCCCATGTTGTTATGTTGGCGACGCACAGGCTGCGCGCACGGGGGCCGCCGTCGTCGGGGTTCCGACGGCCCCCCTGCGCTGCAACCTAGCTGGCTGCATCCGCCCTTGCTGCCCTTGCCGCCTCCAGGATCTCGTCGATGTCGTCCGCGTCCGTGACTTCTGACTTCATCTCTTCTGTCATCTCCTGCTCTGGCTGCTGCAGCTCCACCTTTGCGCCTCCATCACTCTTCCTCTTCTTTCTGCCTGTGAGATCGCTGTTATTTGTTCCGCCGCCTTTGCTTTTGCGATCTCCAAGTGCGTCTTCAGTTGCCCTGCGAAGGATGCCGCGTTTGCCTTCAGCTGCGCGACCACCTCCTGATTTGCTTTCTGGATCGCCATCTTCCCCTCGTCGTCCAGGTCCTCGTCGTTTGTGCCTAGGGCGTCGTCCACTTCCCTCAGGTCTCCTTCCGCCAGCTCCGCCACGTCCGAGGAGAAGAGCTGTGCCAATACTCCCTGAGGTGGAACGTTCTTGCCCTCTGCCTGAATTCCCTCGATTTCCACCTCGATGCCCACCACTTGTGCTGCGTGCTGGTGTACTTCTGCTTTGAGCTTTGCCATCTTCTCTTCAGCTTTCTTCAGGTCTTCGCGCTTCCACTCATAGTTTCCAGTCGCCTTCTGTAGTCTGGTTGCCGCTTCTGCCAGGCGCACCGCTTCTGGCTTCCTCTCAGGTGGGGGCGTGGCCGCCGCCGCAACCTGGCTTGCCATTCCATTCAGTTGTCGCACGAGTTGATCTCCATGTTGTATGCCCATACGCTGGAGTGAATTCGTCATCATGCTCACTGCTGTTGCGAATGTCTCCGCAGCTTTGCCTCCTGTGCCTTTGCCTTTCCAGCCTGCTCCGCCTTTGTCGCCCTTGCCGAAGCCCTTGTCCTTGCTGCTTTCGTGGTCGAATTTCTTGTCATTGTCGCTCCAGTCGTTCCGCTCTTCCTCCCACTTCAGCTGCTTGACATACTGCGGCTTGGCGATCTTCGCGTTGCAGGTGCAGGTCCAGCTCATGTAGCACAGCTTGCTATGGTACCACCACTTGCTGCACTTCTTGCGTACAGAGTACTGGTCCTTCATCTGCTGCGACTTCGTCATGCCCTTCTGCTGCCCCTTCCCCATTGCAGGAGGAGTGCTTCCGTGGTGCTGTCGTAGCAGTAGCTTGTCCCCCCCCCCCCCCGCTTAACCCGTGCGATGCCTTGCTGCCGCCCTTTCCTCGGAGAGTCTCCTGTGCCACGCCTGGCTCGACGCGCGACCGTCGCGGCGCGTGGCGCCCCTGCGGGGCGCGCCGCGCGGCGGCGCGTGGGGGCGGTCTCATCCGGGGACAGCTGCGCCCGCTCGAGCCCCACCTAAGAGGAGGAGGAGGAGGAGGAGGAGGAGGAGGAGAAGGAGGAGGAGATAGGAGGATGAGGAGGAGGAGAGGAGGAGGAGGTGAGGAGGAGGAGGAGGAGGAGGAGGAGGAGGAGAGAGAGCACGTAGCTGGGGGAGCGAGGAGGAGGAGGAGGCGGCGGAGAGGAGGAGGAGGAGGAGGAGGAGGAGGAGGAGGAGGAGGAGGAGGAGGAGGAGGAGGAGGATGGAGGGTCACGACGCGTATGCCCCACGAGTGCAGCCCCACATGGGGCGAACCTCCGGCAGCACCCCGCGTTTCTGCTCGCTCTCCGGAGCACCCCCCCGCCACGGCGACCAGGCCCCCGCGCACCTCCGGCCGGAACGCGCCCAGGCCAGCGGCCTCGGCCTCGCGGCGGCGCGCACTCTCGGCGCGCGCGTGGGGGCGCCAAGGGTGCGCACGAGTGCACCACAGGGTATCCCCAGGTGCAGGCCCAGACCTCCTCTCGCGCTGCGACGGAATCGCGACAGGAAAATTGTCGCTGTTTTTTGGCCTCTGGGGGCCCCTCCCGGGCCTCGGGACCGTCAGGAAACGACTCAGGATGAAAAACCGGCCCCAGGGAAGGGGTCCAGACCTCTGGGGGTCCACGTTGCGAAAAAATCACGACGTCGGGGGTCTGGGGGTGTGCCAGGTGTGCACAGTTGTGGCCAGTGTGCGCACGCGCTCGGCAGCGAGCGAGGGGGGGGGATTGAGAAGGAGAAAACCTTCTGAGAAGGCGGCGGGGCTTCTCAGAAACACTCGCGCCTTGTGAGAAGCTTTCTGTGTCTTCGGGGAAGGTTCGGAGAACTTCCCAAAGGCCGGGGGATTTCCGAGCCTTCTGAGAAGGCCCGCCCCTCCTCACTTGCCCCCCAGGCTCGCCGCCGACGTGCGCGGGGTGTGCGTGACCCCCGACGTCGTGATATTTTCACAACGTCGACCCCCAGAGGTCTGGACCCCGGGGCCGGTTTTTCATCCTCTGACGGTCCCGAGGCCCGGGAAGGGACCCCAGAGGCCGAAACCAGCGACAAACCTCCCGCCGTGATCTTTTCCAACGCGAGAGAATCTGGGGACGGCGCACAGAGTGCGCACGAGGGTTCCGTTTCGTCCGTCTCTCGTCTCGTCGTGGCCCAGGTCCAAGGAGCTGACCACCTACAAGACCACTAAAACCCAACCCGAAGACCCGAATTTCGACTACCTA